ATATAACTCATGTGTGAAAGAGCCTTTACGAGGAGAGTCAAATGTAAAAAAACAACTTTTTTAAGATTAAGACTATTGTAATAATTGTAACAATTGTCTATTTAAAATAATGTATAAGATATGCAATTATTGTGTCATAATTAATGTACGGGTGATTATATTTTGATTAATAAGATTTTATGTCGTGTAAATGCGTTTTGTTTTATTTAACTACTAGTGGCCCGCCCTCGCTTCGCTTCGGTATTTTATCCCCTTGGGGGAAGAATCGATCAGAATCCTTTCTTAGCGGATGCCTACGTCATAACATCTACCTGCCTGCCAAATTTCAGCCCGATCCGTCCAGTGGTTTGGGCTGTGCGTTGATAGATCACTATGTCAGTCAGTCACCTTTGAGTTTTATATATATAGAGATATATTCCTTTGAAACAGTCGTCTTAATATTTTTTTTACCGTCGACCGATAGATAATTATTCTTGCACATTAGAAGTTATGTCCTAAGCTTTAATTAAAAAAAATACTTTGTAATGTCATTGTACGGGTTTTGTACACCTTTTATGATATAGAGAGAGAAGAGAAAGTCTTGATATGTTTAAATGATATATTACTGATAACAAACTGATAATTACGAAACTAAAATGATATGACTGTGAGAACGCGTGGTACGAATAATGACCGATGACGAACTGATTCATAATTAACCTAAATAAATGCATGTGGCGTAAAATGCCGACGGGGCAAAATGTACGCGCTTGCTCGTACATGCTCCCGGGCCAAAGATAGGGAGAGAGATGATAATGGTTTGATGTAAGTGAGTGACGCGATTATAAGGTGATAAAACAATATTTTCTTAAAAATAATAACAAATTGATAAAACAATGTTCTCTAGAATTAATTACAGTGAACTAAATTCTCTATGAAAAATAGGTGACGAGGCACAGTCAACAACGCGCGGAGCGGATAAACTCGGTTTAACACTCACTCTTTTATCTAAACTTTCATTCACTTTTAAATTGCTCATTTCAATATTTACATTACGACACTGATTCGCGCACTGAACCACACTATCACTAACACACTCAACAGTTTCTTGAGGGAGGCCAGCGGGGGTGCTAGCCTGTCCTCCATGGGGCTGGGGCTCTTCCCTCGCCCGCCCTGGCCGGCGGCGCCAGCGGCGTCGAAAGATAACCACTGCCATAGTTATGACGCTGCCGAGACCCACTACGTAAATAGCAACGTAATGGTGCACGTCATGATAAGACACTCGATCCGCCAGAACACCTTCGGAACCGATGTTTTTCAAATCTTGAATCTGCCGATCTATCTCCTCAAGGTCATCAGGATTAGTGACATTGCCTGAAGTCACTATGGAAGGCGTATGGATAGTTATATTCATGATATTATTGATAGGAGGAATATCAAATTTTATGATATCGGCCTTTTGCTCAATTGTATTTGAAAATTTCTTATGCGGATATACTGTGAAGCTATCGCCTTTGATTATGCAATCGTTGCTAAGTGTTATTATTCCAGCCATGATAAGTTGTTGTAAGCCAGAAGTCCAAGTTATCCAAGTTGTAGTTGTTAAAATTCTTCGATAACTACAGTGTAAATCCACCTCACTTGCGACACAGAGTCACGTTTTCCGAAATCACGTATGCACTGAGTCACTCGCGAGGCCCTTATACGAAGGACCAAAAAGATGTACGGGTTTTGTACACCTTTTATGATATAGAGAGAGAAGAGAAAGTCTTGATATGTTTAAATGATATATTACTGATAACAAACTGATAATTACGAAACTAAAATGATATGACTGTAAGAACGCGTGGTACGAATAATGACCGATGACGAACTGATTCATAATTAACCTAAATAAATGCATGTGGCGTAAAATGCCGACGGGGCAAAATGTACGCGCTTGCTCGTACAGTCATTACATTCAAAAAAGTAGAAGGCCTACCACTGTTAGGAGCCTTTCGCACTAGACGACCACGACTAACAGAACCCTAAAAATAAACTGTAAGTAAATAAAGAATAGCCTAGGGAAAGATAAAGAGAGCTACACTAGACTGGGAGTGTGGAAATAGACTGTATGCACCAACTGTAACCTTTCCGTTGCAGGTACAACTAACCACTTTCTTAATCACGGTACTATTTTGTAAATCTGCTGAACTCTAACAAAAATAGAGCATATTAGTACTATTTTTTATACAATCAGCCCACTGAGTAAAGTCCAGTTGTGAAAATAATGCGGCGAAATTATTACCTGGTACATCAGTCCAGCCATCCTCACCTTGCAAATCTGTACACCACCCCCTTACACCGTGGAGCCTTAAAATCTTTATTTATTACAGGAACACATATCTATAAGGAACAGGAACATAATACAGGATGTTGTTAAATAAATAAATATTTCCAACAATGACACCAATTAGCCTAGCCCCAAAGTAAGCACTGTAGGCTTGTGTTATGGGATGCTAAGAATAAAATAGGAATAAAATACATATACTGTTACATATATATTTTTTTTTATAAAGAATTATAATTAAACATCCATGACTGGAGTGGACATCAAATGTTCGTATTCATCAAACAAACATCTGCCCCCACCGGGATTCGAACCCGGGACCTCTCGAGTAGGTGACACCCGGCGTACAAATCAGTCGGCCACAGAGGTCAGGAAATGAGGTATTAGCAGTCATCGACGTAGGTAGTGTCATTTGGGGTCAGTGAACTTAAATGTTAATATGGATATGCCCTGAGATTCACAGTATCACCGAAAATTTTCCAAAATGTCTATGTTTTAATTATTAAATGTTCTAGATAATGCCATCTGGGGGTTATTAGGCAGATACTTAAGTAGAACCTTCGACCAAACATAGACGAGATGTGTGCAATGAATGTGTAAGTAAGTCTGTTTCAAGAAAAACGCCACTAGAGAGCGCCATTGTATACTTTTCTAAAGAGATTTTAGGGTGAATTCAACGAGTAGGTATATTTTACGGAACTCTTTATTTCGGTTATTCCCACTCGTCAAACTCTTTTTTAACAATTCTTCTAATAAAAAAAAATGGGTGCGTGTACTTATGTAGGCGCGTGAGAAGTTATCCTTCTTTGGCATCGTTTAAAATTAGTTTTTAATTGCATGCAAATAATTAATTACAATAAATTAATAAAAAGTCTGGAAAAGGACACAGTCAATAAAGTTCAGTTTTAATTTGAAAAAATAATTAAATAATCAAAATATTCAATTAAAATCGCTACTGAATATAATTTATTAGAACATATGTGATTTGCACTTGTATGAAACTCAAACACGTATTCCGAATATACAAACTAGAAACATGTGGATAAATATTATAAATATGAATACCTATAACTGTTACTTTATTACAAAAAATAAAGATGTGGTTTTTGGTTCTACTACACCAATGGTCAAGAGATGGCGCTGTAGTCTCCTGAATCGCGCTCTGGTTCCGTTGTTCCAGATTAATAAATACTTTTGATAGGCCTTCACAATGCAGTCGTTAGCACCCACTAAATAGAGATTCTATTTCTATTTTGTTGGTAGATTTTCTTAATCTGCGGTAAACACAAAAGTAACGCATGAAGTTGGTCGCTAAAGCGACCAACTTCATTATGTTAAAATTTTGTGTTACAGTGATGCGCGCGCATCTTAAAATTTCACTCTCATCAATTTTTCATAACGCGCCTAAAGAAGTATAACTTCAAAAAAACTCAATTAAACTCTTTTCGTCGAACTCATTCGCAAGTGCAAGAAACATGCAAGAAATTAACTTATTTGAAACTTTTGACATCTATAGTATTTTTAAGAAGCTTTTTTTTACAATTTTTAACCGCCCTCGGTTTCCCCTACGAGTGACCCGCCCTCACTACGCTTCGGTTTTTATTCTCAGGTCTATATTATACATATAAACCTTCCTCTTAAATAACTCTATCTTATGCTGAAAACTGCATTAAAATCAGTTACATAGTTTATAAGATCTAAGTGTTACAAACAACGGGAGCGATTTCTTAAGAGCGAACGCGAGCTGAGAGACACTTGGGTGAGGTGGGTAGGTATTTGAAAAACTATTGATAAGGGTGATATGGCAACAAAAAATACTTATCACCCTTTGATCACCAACCCCTATTTAGAGAAATGGAATTACGAAGTTCGCTGGGTCAGTAAGTTGATTTATATTCCCGCTCGTCACCCCCAGCTTTGTCCCCTCCGGTGACGAGTGGGAATTTTCCAATCAGTTAGTTGTTTTATACTTTTAAGTTAATGTTTATCTTTGACTTTATCTTTTTTTAATTGACAAATACATATTTATTAAAGATAGAAATATTTAAATTACAAAAGCTTAAAATTACTTAATGTCTAAAAACTTAAAAGGGTATTTGACAAGTTTTAGAAAACAGTCTCACGTTATTGACTCATGTTTATGGAGTCCGTAAAAAGTGGATATTCATCATTCTGTTGTGTATTTCTGTAAAAATAACCAAATCAAAAACCCCATTTTCAAGTTGCCGCGAAAACGTTTCTCTGGACAATATGGCGTCTAACTAGTGTCACACGACTGTTATTAAAACGTCAAACGATACAATGTAATGTCACTTTAACCGGAAGTTTACTTTCGTGTGACGTCATTTTAGGCTCCGCCAATCGCAAACGTTTTCACGTGACAATAGATAAGAAAACTATTATCTTTTTCGTGGGTTTTTAGTAAAATTATGATTTTTTTTGTTGTAAAAATAGTAAAAACCCCAGCCAATATTCATTCTAAACACAGATGCTAACAATTGGCACTTTATTTTTGATAACCCATACCCTATTATCTTAAAACTTACGTACATAAATAAATACAATACACAATAAAAAAAAATGATCCCCCAGTCCAAAATGGTACGCAATAGGCTCGCAGCATTTCCTCGTTTAATAACAATACTTATCCGTTGACCAAGGCATTAGGTTAATTATTTTTGGATTGTCGCAGAGTCCGCAGAGTTCGCGATAGCCAACGTGCAGTGCCAGTACGACAGCTCGGACACGGAGACGGCGGACGTGGAGCACGTGTCGGTGCGCCGGGACGACCACACCTACGACACGAGGGACGAGCCGCCCGCCTTCATCATACAACATGTGCCGGTTAGAAAGCTTGTTCATGTGTAACATCTTTCCTCTCTGTTTCTTAGGTTTTCGTAGTGATGTGCCGGATCGTCAAAAATGTATCCGCGGATACGGATCTGAATACAGATATTTGGTGTCAAGATCCGCAGATACGGATACGGATCTTAACTTTCTTACACAATCGGTGTCGGTGCTTGATCTTGAGTTGAGACATGTTTCGACTTGCATTGCGCGGCGGGTTTATTTTTAGTTTAATGTGACACTGGGCAGCATAGATAACGCTTGTGTTTGGTATTGGTACGTGAGTTTAAAAAAATGTTTACAAAGAAGTTTAGTAGTGTAATTTGGAATTATTTTGTGATAATAAATGATGAATGTGTAAAATTTGTGAAGGAAAGTATTCTCGTAAAGGTGTATGTGTGACGCAGTACTAGTTTACTTGATTAAAAAAATATTTAATACGAATTTAAAATATTGCGAATCTAAGTTTTGTTTTCTTAATAAAAAGTGATCTTATAACTTTTTATAATATTGATCTCATTAAAAAGCTAGTTGATTTAGTACCTTGTAGTTATATACTATAGGTATGATAACTAACTACGGCAAAGTTTGCAACATAAAGGAGCCAAATATTTGATTTTAAGAAATAAAAGAATATCTGTATTGAATTTAATAGTTTTTTATTGCTACCTAATCACCTATTTAAAGCAAAGAGTAAGGCGCACTAGCGATGCCAATTGCTTTAAATTGTTAGCTACTAAACCAGATCTATTTCAAATAATTGGCGTCGCTAGTGCGCTTTACCCTTCGCCTTAAAGAATTTTATCTATAAATTTAAAATTAATAAGGTAAATAGATCCGTAAAAGATCCCCCAAAAAGAAACGGATACGGATCTTTCTTCTGCCTCGGATATCCGCGGATACGAATACGGTTACAGATATCCGGCACATCACTAGTTTTCACGCACATCACTCATTAAATAAAACTAGTTTTTCACGGGTTAATGCACTTTATTTATTTATTGACGTATCAATTCAAATATCCAAATTTCAATAGAGAAGATGGTTGGTATATACCACCAGCTTGGGAACCCATTATACAGGAGATAAAATCCCAACCCCGAGCACACACTGCAAGACCAACAGATGTTATTAGTTCTTTTTGTTTGTATAATTTGACATAAGAAGGAGATAGAAAGCCTCTCTTGAGTTTGTTTCGCCGGTTCTTCTCAGAAAGGTCTCCCAATTTTGGAACCGGTGGTAGTTTACGGTAATAGGGTCAAATAAATAAATTCAAAATTACAAAAAAGATTTTTAAATAAAGTACTTTCTTAACTAAATCAAAAAATAAATTCATACATAGACTATAAAACTTTAAAAATCATTAAGAATTTAAAAAAAAAATATATTTCATTAATAACATAAAATTTATTAATAACAATTTAAATGAGAGTAAGACACACAATTTATTAACCAAATTAGAAAGAGAAAATTGAATGAATTATAAATAAAGGCATTATTAAATGAAAGTAAAAAAACCATCAATTTCATAAAAGGTATTAAATAATTGTAATAATGGTAACATCAAAGTATTAATTAATTAATATAATTTTTCATATTGCCTTTCAAACTGTTGAGCGATTGACCGCAGATGGCAGGTACTACGTCCAACCCATATAACATTTTATTCCCGGCAGATTCTATAAGTATAAGTAGGATTATGGGAGGAAACATTTTTGCTACAAATGGGTATAGAGAAAAGACCTTGATATAAATATCGTTTAAAAGAGTTGTCGACATAGAGCCGTTAATGATCTTATTGGCAAGTGAGTTCTTGAAAAAATTGAAAATTAAAGCTCATCATCAAATAATACGCCTAAATCAAGTAAATTACTATCCATGGCGTAGTCAAAGATTACATGTGTACGTTTATGTGTGAAGGAAACGCGAAGGATTACTCAATGTTCAGGCACATGCCGCGTTGTCTTTACACCAATCAAACAAAGTTATTATATCTGTTTGCAACTAACTGCAATCTCTTACAGAATCTATGCGTTTAAATATTAATGACATAGTTTAAAGTTTTGGGATTAGGTCGTTAATAAACAGGACAAATAGTAAAGGACCCAAATGCGAGCCCTGCGGAACACCAGAACTTATGGAGACAGGCTGAGAGCGAGTTATTCCTTCAAAGCAACCAACTGACTGCGATTTAAAATGTAGGATTTCAGCCAGCGAAAGAGATTATCTTGCACTCCCATGCAGTTTTACTTGTAAAACAGAATTCTATGGCTTACTCTATCAAACGCTTTTTAAAAGTCCGCGTATATAGAGTCCACCTGGGCGTGGTCGTTGAATACTTTACAGTTATAGCTCCATCAAGTTACTGACGGTTGACTTTCTCTCCACAAAACCATGTCATGATTGATGAAGGTGAGATCTAATGTGATGGAAAACGTAAGAGTAGACCAGAGACTCAAACACTTTAGCGAAGCTGGACAAGATACTTATAGGTCTGTAATTAGTGCAGTTGCTGGGATCACCTGACTTATGTATGGGTACAATATGAGCCAATTTCCATGTGTCTGATAAGATACCCCTTTGCAATGATTTATTAAAAATAATAAGGCGGCCGCACAGCTCCTGATGAAAAGAGTAGAAATGCCGTCAGGGCCAGCACCCTTATTTACGGACAAATCTTAATTTTTTGTAAGGACGTCCTTCTCCGAAATATTTATCGATGTCAAAGAGTAACCGAGATAAACTTTATCCTCTTTTACAGTGCAACCACCAACATTAGGCCAGAAAACTGAGGAAAAATAATCGAAAAATAGCTTAGCCTCTGCCTGACTATCTGTAGCAATCCTATCGCCAAACTTCACTGTATCAGAAACCGCAGTACTGATTTTTTTCTTCTTACCAAAAGAAAAAAATAGTTCGGTAGAAACATTAAGAGAGAGGAGTTTCTTCGACCTGGAGCGTAGCAAGCAAAATTCGTCATACTCCCGGGGGTTCCCAAATTGTGAACTGCTTTTTTTCGGATATGCATGCTTTCACGTCCTCCGAGAACCGAACTGGATAATTCGACTGTCCAGTACGTTTATTCTTCATAATAATATCTTTCAAAATATTGTAGAAGCAATCGATATCAGGTGGGGTGGAGTCTTTTCTCGAAGCTATAACATGTATAAATTAAAAAAAAATACATATGTGATTTGCACTTGTATGAAACTCAAACACGTATTCCGAATATACAAACTAGAAACATGTGGTTTTTGGTTCTACTACACCAATGGTCAAGAGATGGCGCTGTAGTCTCCTGAATCGCGCTTTGGTTCCGTTGTTCCAGATTAATAAATACTTTTGATAGGCCTTCACAATGCATTCGTTAGCACCCACTAAATAGAGATTCTATTTCTATTTTGTTGGTAGATTTTCTTAATGTGCGGTAATCACAAAAGTAACAGCATGAAGATGGTCGCTAAAGCGACCAACTTCATTATGTTAATTTTTTGTGTTACAGTGATGCGCGCGCATCTTAAAATTTCACTCTCATCATTTTTTCATAACGCGCCTTAAGAAGTATAACTTCAAAATAATTAGTGTAATGATGTTTGTTTGCACAGGCGTCGCAGCCGCCGGTGTCTCAGCCGTATATGGAGGTGTCGCCCAAGATCATGACCATCGGCCCCTCGTACGTGCAGGCCGTCAACGTCATACACGTCGGTGACAGACCACAGGTATTCATGTCTTATGCTTTCATGCACACCACAGAAAGAAAGAAAGAAAGAATTTTATTAGCCTTTAATAATAAGATTAACTTCTTTAGCTCCATCTTTATGTACATATATTGTAGCACATTGAATTTTTTTATGGTTAAGGAGGGTATAAAAGCCGGTCGACGCGTGTCTATCTCTGTTTGCTGCGCGCGGCTCCATCGGAACAACATCTCCGCTAATTCATCCGACATTTTCTTGACATCCCACATTGCACTGGACCAGACCCCCCCCCCCCCCCATTAGAAATCAAATCTAAATATAAGGCAGTAACGAATCTGCCACCCCGCATCTCTTGCAGCCGCGCCTAGCAGCCTTTTAGCACTAGGGTTAATTTGCACATGGAATTCAGCTTGATACCTCGACCTGAATAAAGTACATATTTTCTAGTAAACATTTGTTGATAGACATGTTCCCTGGTACAGATGCCCCAGTCGACACAAGCCGAGTGCAGCATCAGTAAACGTATCCGCCGCAGCGAGGTGGTGCTGCGCCAGGCCGCAGACTGCGTCAGCCGCGGACACACCTTCCAGACAGTGTCTGAGCAGTTCAACATACCTATATCTACCATACGGTATGATATATACGTATATGTACTACAATCCTACTATATGCCGACTACTCCAGCCGCGGACATGCCTGCCAGATAGTGTTTGAGCAGTTCAAAATACCTACGTCTACCATACGATGAGATATATACGTATATGTACTATAACCCTACTATATTTCGACTACGCCAGCCGCGAACACGCCTGCCAGACAGTGTCTGAGCAGTTCAACATACCTTTATCTACCACACGGTAAGATATATACGTATGTGTACTATAATCCTACTATATGCCGACTACGCCAGCTGCGGACACGCCTGCCAGACAGTGTCTGAGCAGTTCAACATACCCCTTTGCTATACGGTCTGGTAGGAGAACTACTGCCTTCCTAGTCCCTCGTATGATCAACGAAGTATCCGCGATTTAATAGAAGTTAAAGGACTTTTATTTTAAGACTTTGCAATGCACCTAACTGTATCCTATAAACACACTGCTTTGTATTTAATTAACTATTTGAGCTAGTCCCTGGCGTGTAATTAGCATTGCTACAAACCTCTGTGATTTCTCTAATGCAAAAAATAAAGATGTAATAATGATAAATAAATGAAAAAAGAAAGTAATTAATATAAATAAAACTAGTTTTAACGGTTAATGCACGAAATTTTATTTATTTATTGACGTTTCGCAGCCTTTTTAGGTCTGCTTCGTCAGAATAATGATTTTTTATTTAATTTAAATAAAAAAATAAATACATTACGTTACATCTTGTATTAATTTATTTTTATATTTAAATTAAATTAAATAGCAGACCTGAAAAGGCTGCGAAACGTCAATAAATAAATAAAATTTCGTGCATTAACCCATTAAAACTAGTTTTATTTAATGAGTGATGTGCGCGAAACCTAAGAAACAAGTAATTAATATAGATAAATACTTTAATACTCACGCGCATTAGACCAAAGTCCCAAATAAAACATAGTATAAATAGTGCTTATATTATGGAAAACATACCAGAAGTATAGTACAGTAGATTTGCGAACCGATGGCGTAGCTTTTCGACATTCACAAGTGCTTGTAACAGCCTAGACTGAATAAACGATATTGAATTTTGAATTTTTTTGAATTTTACCACTCAACCAGGGAGTGGTATGTTAGTGTATACAGTACCAATACCTACATTTCATACATTGGTTTTTGATTAGATAATGCGATACTGTTCCAAAAAGAAACTGTTAACATTATCACAGTTATCGAATAAAACTTTTACATAAATAAACTATGAATAATCAATCTAATGATTTCGACATTTCTTAAATACAGATTTACAAATGGAGCTTTCCTCCAACCTTAAAATGTAAATAACGTACAGTGATCATAATATACACATAGAGTATTAACAAATTGGTGTGCATGCTATATCTCCATATAGCTTTTATTTTCTATACAGTTCTCTTAATGATTTTTAATAAATAATCAGACAAATGGCTAATACAATCCATCTGACATACAACTTTGGGGAATTTTCAACACAAAAACAACAGTCTAAACGTCTACAAATGATTGTCGACTATGTAGATGATATAATGATCACAGTACCGTATACTACAAACAAACAATACACCGTGAATTTCGATTTACCTGAAATGAAATGAAATGAAATTTATTTATTCACACAAAAAACAGAGTAGATACATTTTGGTGGTGATTTTCATTAAGTTCGTCCATTTTGCCAACGACAGCGCATGTGAATGTCAAACTAAATTTAATTCTAAAATTTAAAGGTACTTTAATGTCATTTTACTTATTCTATTCTAAGTAAATTTTCGTTTCTGAGAAACTTACTAGCTGATTCAGATAACGAATACCGTTGTTGGTGTCAATTCTGGCATGATTCTCTAAACTTAAAATTAAATTTAAGATCAGTGTCTCCTTTTCATTCTGTATAGAGAATAACAAAGATAGACTGCTGTCAAATTTTAGTTTAGGTTTAGATAATCATACCAGAATCGACCTCATTATAGGTTATATTTTTGGATTTTTTTTTTCATTTAATGATTATTATAATTCGATAATTGTGTAAACTATAAAACCGTGACAATTTTAAATGGCATAAATTTATATTTAAATAACTACTTTTGGGATTGACTTACTTTAAATGAAAAATAAATACATAAATTGTAAAAATCCTGTTTATAAAAATAGTGAGAACAGTAAATAATATCCTAAAATGTACATATATATTTGTAGTTATAGCCATTTTAGGATATTTTTTGTTAAATTTGTAAATAAAAAAAATGGCCCATTTAGTAATATATTTAGATTAGATTTATAACTGACCTTACTGTTTTTATTGACACGATTTTTAAGTTGCTCAAGCGACTCTAAATTCCCAATGCACAACGATAGTAACAGTAAGTTTTTCATGAAATTGCAGATTCTTTATGGCGCGAAAGGGAATATTACCGAAGCGACGGCGAGGACGCAGTGCACAAGTAGGTAATTCCATCAACCACTGACTAACCCGCTATTATTAACCGACTTCGACAAATAGAGCCGCTATTATTACCCGACTTCGTCGTAAAATAGAGCCGCTATTATTATCCGACTTTAAAAAATAGAGCCACTATTATTATCCGACTTCGAAAAATGGAGCCGCTATTATTACCCGACTTCGTCGTGAAATAGAGCCGCTATTATTATCCGACTTTAAAAAATAGAGCCGCTATTATTACCCGACTTTAAAAAATATAGTATGAGGGTAGGTACGCTAAGTTAAATCAAATCACATTTATCTGCGAATACTAAGCTATTAAATATGTATAATGTAGCTGATTTCATATTAACTCACCACAATAAATGCAAAATAAAAAAAACAAAAGGGATATGCCTTTTATAAAAATGAGTCCTCTAAAAATACTTATCTATATTATAATAGGCCATTTGTAGAAACATTGTCTTTGAAATTTTTATTTTTTAAGCATGTGACTGCACGATGTTCAAATTTAAAGAAAATATTACTTGAAGAAAAATTCGACACGGCCATAGTAGCATAATGATCAGTGCATTCGTCCAGATAGCGAAGGGTATGGGTTCAAATCCCGTCTGCTGCCTGGTTCGCGTGGAATTTTTTCTAGAAATATTTTCTTTAGATTTAAACATATTCTTTAATTGTGTACAAAATATATCCGATTCTGACATGATTCTTTAAATCTTAACTTAAATTTGACAGCAGTGTATCCTTGTCATTCCTTATACAGAAAGAAAAGGAGAGACTGAAGTTAAATTAACTTTAGAAGTTTAGAGATCCACGCCGGAATCAACACCATTGTATCTTTACAATTTTCCTTATTTGAGAATTTAACTGCTAGATTTTAAATCGCCTATCGGAGACAGTACCGGAACATCGCCGAAATTTGAGGTTTGGAGTTAATTAAATAATTCAAAGAATTCAAAAACTTTAAAGTTGAATTCTTTAATTAACTCAAAATCTCAAATTTCGGCGATGTTCCGGTACTGTCTCCAGACCCCTCTTTCCCAATGGGCACTATGGGCAAGTGCCTAGGGCCCCGCGATCGATAGGAGCCCCCCTCAGATCAAATACCAAGTCCCTAGTTCCTATTAAATCACCAAACGGGGGTTATAGGTACCCCATTATCGTAATATGCAAAGGGCCCCCAAAGGTCAAAGACAGCACTGACTGTCTCCGATAAACGAAATCTATAGAAAATTTGAAATTGTTGGTTACCTACAATGCGGAGAGATGGCGCTGCCTTGCTGCTTAAGAAAGGCTACAGAGAATTCGACACAGCCATCAGGGCCGCGGTAACATATTGGTCAGAGCATTCGCCCGGATAGCGAATAGTGCGGGTTCGAGTCCCGTCTACTGCCTGGTCCACGTGATTTTTTTGTAATAAAATTTTCTATAGATTTACCATTGTATCTCTATTCGCAGCTGAAGCCCTGCAATAGTCCGGAGCCCCCGTTCCACATGCAGCACTTCAAGCTGCCCGACATGCTCGCCTTGAGGGAGTACTGCGACGAAGATACCTCCACGACGATGTAAATATGTCGGCCATTATGGTGGATACGGTGGCACTGCGAATATCGGTGTTACTGCCTCGCGATAGAGGCTAATTTCAACTGGACTGAATGGGAAAACCCTCTGGGTTTGGGCCTACCACTTATCGGGATGGCTATGGCTGTTTCAAAACCTTCCGATAGGCGGTAGCCCCCCTAGGCTGTATGAGAAAAAAACTTGGACTTTGTGAGAACAAAACTTGGACTTTATGAAAAAAAAAAAAATAGTTACTGGGCGTTTTTATTTTGTTTTTCACTTTTGTTTCTTGCCGTTTCCCATAAATCGCTTGGATTTTTTGTCTCAATAATCATTTCTCCGATATAAGTACATCAACCTTGTTAAATCCGAAAATATACTCATCGAAAGAAAACTCCGAGATTTATTACTTGATATTTCATATTATGGTTCTGAATTGAATAATTTCTTCAAACTTCTTTTGCTTTAGTCACTAATAAATCAAATTGGTTTTTATTGACAAAAAATATAAATAAAGAATAAACTAATAATCGGCCAAAAGTTACAAAAAGTTCATAGTTCTTATCTACAGTAGTTTAAACAACAAAGGAAATCTGCTGGGTAAAAATAATAATAAACTTACTTAAATAGTATGACAAAAAATATGACTACGTTAGTGATAGCGAAATAGTAATAAATTGCCTGCCTTTTTTAGATTACAGTTGTTTGTTGGAGTATTGTTTTTTGTAAAAGCGCCATCTATTGGTGGTGGTCGTTTACTAATGTTATTAAAATACAAACTTTTCACACTCCGGCTGAACAAAGAAAGATTAAGATAAAAAGTTGTGTAAATAGATGTAAAGGGATATCATTTAATATAATGTGATGTAATAATTAGTTCATATTATGTACCTATGTATGCTCCGAACACATACATATAGTATATTGAAACGCCCTTAATGTGATTATAAATAAATAATAAAAAATAATAAATGAATTGATTTCAAATTCGAATGATTACTATAACAAAAGCATATGCATGTTTAATATAAAAATTATTACGCCCAAAAAAAAGACGCTTTCCTTTTCGAAGGCTCTATGGTTAAAACAGAAAACACTTCTAATACACGCAGAATTGAAGCGAGCAGAAAAAATAAGCTATGTAATGCTACTACTATAGTATAATAATAGTGTATTATGATAATGTGGTAATACCTACATGAATAACGATTATATGTATTATGTAAAATATAAATATTTTATTAAAGTGCAGTTAGGTCACAATAAACATAGAAGTTCATAATAAAATTACTTGGTCATCTTGGTCAAATTCATTGTGAAATACACGATAAAATTGAAATTGTAGAACACAAAATAATGAAAATAAAATACAACAATGCAACGGAACGCAAATTATTACTCAGTATTAGTTACTAGCGTTAAAACGAAACCATTAAATAAATAATAGCTTTCATTTACCAAATTCTTGTTCCAATATCACTGAAGTTGTTCACTTAACAAATAGGTCCCATATACATAGTATAATAATAATATTTATTTTTACATCTATTCAGTGACTGAAGAAATAAATATGATACTTATAGATTGGTAAAACTACCAAGCATGCAACGTATATTAAAACACAATATTTAACCAACACTAGTTGCCTTTACAGTAAAGATGCTGAAGTTATTGTTGTATTATTCATATAAAGTATTATTTTATAGATTATGAGAAAGATCTCTGATTTGACGTCACAAATATAGAATTAAAAAAAAACACTGAAAATGTTTCACACCAACGAAAAGTTCATTAACTTAGATGAAAAAATATCTGGTAAAAGTTTTACTACAAAATATAGAACACACTATTTAATCGGTTTGGTAATTATTCTTATTAATAAAAAATCAAACGCATAAAATGAATTACTTGCTAAAATAAAAATAAAAATTCTCTAAGTTTAAAATGAGACATTTCGTATAATGACAATGCATTTTTGTGAATTTAATTTAATAAGTTTGTAATGCGAATATTCTAATGATGTAAAAATAATGGAGATATAAGTGATGTATGTATAGTATAGTTATAGGAACAGTATTGTTTTTTCTTCATTTTGTATTAGATACAAAATGCTTAGTTTTTGAGTGCAGCTCTGTAACGAAAAATCAGCGCCATCTATTATTTGTGCAGCTAAACTAAATTACGAGATGGCGCCATTTTGTGTTTTGTAGTATGCAGTCTTTTGTAGTAATATTTTGATAGGATTTGTTTTATTGTGTTTAGGTACATTATGTAATTTAGAATTAAGATTGCAATCATACCTATAATAATGTGAAGTTAGCAATTCTTATGAAAAAATTGCCTAAGTATTTTATAAAAATTAATAATAAAAATTGTATATATATATATAATTCAAGTACACACATCAAAAGTGTCTAGGGATCAACATATATTTTTGCAATAACTTTTCTCCTGATTGATATTAATTAAAATTTTCTTTAAGGATTCATCAAATAAAGTGTTTTCGTTTGTCACAGTAACGATAAACCAAGTCACCTTTGCATTAATAAAGAAATTTGCCATTTTCCTAATAAAGGGATTTTTGACATTTGAACCACTAACACAAAAGTTCGAAAAAAAGACTGAAATAACAGTTTTCTCTAAAATTTTATTGGGTAACTTAAACAATTAATAATCCGTATTTCTACCGCGAACACTAACAACACAAGAACATCGGTTTGGCATACTCAAAATGAGTTCATCCAAATCACGCTGTGGAATGGCCGCCCATGTTCGTTGCAACAACAAAAAAAGGTCTTCTTGCGACTGGATACCCTCCATATTCGGCAGAGCTCTTCTCTGTAGCATATCCCATGCATGCTCAATCGGGTTCAAGTCTGGCGACTGAGCAGGCCAGGGCAGGACATTGATGTTAGCTGCGGCGAGAGTCTGTCTTACAACTCTTGCGGTGTGCGGTCGTGCATTATCATGCATTAACTGAAATAAGGGACCGATTTGCACTTGTAGAGGAACGATGACGTCTGATACAATCGTCTCAGCATAAATTTGAGCGTTGAGGTTGCCTCTGATCCAAATCAACTCAGTTCTTCCGCCGATCCAAATACCCGCCCATACCATGATGGTTCCACCACTATAAGGATGGACTTCCTGGCAGGATTTTAATCGCTGTTGGCGTCCAGGGGTTCTCCAGTGTCGTATACGTCTTGTATCCGGTCTCATACCAAAACGAGACTCATCAGAAAAGCACACGAAACGCCATTGTTCTTCTGCCCAATTTCTGTGTTCAAGAGCCCATTGATATCGAATCCTACGATTGTGCATTGCTATAGGTGGTACCCGTAGCGGTCTTCGGGAATGAAGGTTCACTTCATGCAAGCGGTTTCTGACTGTTTGGTCGCTAATTAAGTTCCCTGAAGAGTGATGAAGCCTCACGGCTAACATCATGGCGGTTATTGTTGGAGCTCTTCGAGTTAAGATTTGAATGTATCGGTCTTGTCTCCGTGTGGTGCAGCGATACCGTCCTCCATGGCGCTCAGCCACGGTACCAGTGCTTCGGTATCGTGTCCAAAGTCGACTGATAACACTCTGACTTGTATTCAGAGCTAAAGCCACAGTACGTTGCCGGGAACCAGCTTCTATCATTCCCACGGCTCTGAGCATTTCTTCCCTGCTTAAATGACGTCGCCGCTCCATAATAACGTTGGTTTTAATCAGTAGTAGGGAAACAGTAGCACTAATAATGTCTTCAATGCGTTGTATGTTTTTATAGGGAAAATATTGACAGCTGATTTTCATCTTTTACTCAAATTTGATTCACAGTTCCTGATTCAAATTATGAAATGCACCAAAAAGGATCCATATAAATTTATAAAATCATAAATTTATTACAAAGCCACATCTCAATCTCAAGAAATCCGCATAAAAATGCTTGATCCCTAGACACTTTTGATGTGTGTATTTTAAAGGCAAATAATAACGCATTTGTTGGAACAAAAATATTGGACACATTGCATTTTTGGTACATTGTTATATTGAGTACATTAATGATACTTAAGTTATTATTTTTATGGCCACACAATTATTACAGATATTTTTTTAATTATGTTTAGTGAGAAACCAGTGTTTGTGAATCTCTTAAAATTGTGTTAGATTTTTACAATATTTCCAGTATTATTTTGAACAAATCTTTAATTTTTGTGTCTTGTTGTTGTTGAAATTAATATCCGCGAACTCTTAAAATTGTTATTATTACCAATCACTAATCGAAATGAAGGCCATATTTATCGATGACAATAGGTAATTATTTAGTAAGTTTAAAAAAAAGACATAATTTGTTTTAAAGTGGAACTTTTATGTATCGCTACAAATTTTTTCGTTCCTCTTTAGCAAGTCGCAATGAATTTTTGACTGTTATCAAAAGATCAGACACTGATAACATGCATCGGTGGTTCAGTGGTAAAAAGCTTGCCTGCTACACGGGCGGTCCGGGTTCGAATCCCAGCCGAGGAACTACTTTTGAAGTGATAACTTGTTATGGGAGGGTAAACCGCTTCGTTACGTAACGCGTTACGGTGCCAGTCTGTCTGGCTTCCCTTCGTCGCTAAAGGAGATAGACGCCACAGCCCGCCCAACTACCAGAGGAGTGTCCCTAGACCCAATTCGCTCCCTCACTCATTAATCCCTACTATCACCCATCAATCCCCACTATTATCCACCAATCCCCTTATCACCCTCGAATCCCTTTTAACCCTCGAATCCCTTTCTACCCTCGAAATCCCTTTTCATCCTCGAATCCCCTTTTCACCCTCCAATGCACTATTCACCTACCAATCTCCTGTGCTCAAAAAAGGATAGTTTAGGTTATCTCTTGTATCGTGCGTCTCGAGACACACACGCTTTTTATTTATTAATGATTTTTAAAGTTTCACATAAGTACATCGTGGTTTCATAAAATCACGCCAGTTTCTTATAATGTTATTATTATTTTTGTGACATCAGTAAGTTAAGTAGATAAAGCTACTTAATTTATGAAGTTTGTATTTGAAAATGAAAATCGAGAATGTTTTGAGTCCCTACAGGCTAACCATATGAAGTAATATCATTGAACATTACCTTTATAATCAAAAGCTTTTTCAATAAGCTATATTTTGTTTCTAAATAGATGCCTATGTAAACACTTAATTCCACCAAAAACAAAATAATATAAAACAACAAA